ATAACTTTAAAAAAGGTACAACCTGGAAAAATATATCTCAGGGAAAATCTGACCGTAGCATATGCTACGGTTGCAACGGTCTGAATCCGCCCCTGGGGGGGCTCTGGGGTATTCTCCCCCAGAAAATGTTTTGTATTTTTCCATCCCTAGGACTGAAATGGGAGCATTTTCTGAAACAGATTTTTGGATATACATCATTACATTGTGCTTTGATAGACCAAATCTGATCAGCTAAGTGTACTTGCATGGTATGTTAATGTAAATACCACAACCTGGGTCACTCAGGGGGTAGGAAGCTTGTTAAACTTAGTGGGCATGACTCCCACGAGGCGCTACCATGGTTGGCACCGAGCAGGGAAATTTTGAAAATTTACAGTCTCTAGATCGCTGGAAATGGCATAATTTTCAGAGTCTTCTTTTGCTATTTGTGATTATAGAAATCAGAACTCTAGACATTGTATTTTAGTTCAAAAACTTTTTTGACCTCCCCCCTATTTATAAGGGTAAAACTTTGTATGCCCCCCTCCCATTTACCAACCACCCTCCCCATAAATAATGACCACTCCCTAATCGACAACCAGTTAGTCAATTGTTAGTTGATTCATCAGTTGGGCATTGTACATACAATATTTTTTCGACAGTATTCCTTGCTCGGTTGTGTTCCATATGTTGGTGATATATGTGAGCTTAGTATAAAGTTAAACAGTCCAGATTTACGTACGCTTTTCATACCATTATAAAATTACCTGGGAGATAAAGTGAGGACCGGTATAAAATATATAATACTGTACATGGAATGGTCAACATTGCCATTGGGATATAACAATTTGTTGCACAAAAATTTGTATATACTTATTAAATTTTCATTCATTTATTATAAAATATGACAATTATACTTTAGTACTTATTCACATCTTTAACTTACTTATGTCACATCTTAATAATATAATCCCTACCCTGAGAGCAGAACCTGATTTATAAGGATTGCAAATAATATACAATTTATTGTAAACATATGTCCCATACAATAGACCTTTCCAAGGTTTCTACCGCCATATTGCAGGGGGTGCAAAAACATTGGGGCGAGCGTGCGGCCACCAATGGCGCCCATACTATTTCCTATTGAGTGAGTGAAAATTACCTTTTGATATTTTGTCCTTTTTCTCAAAAAAGTTCTATACAAGCATATCCAATTTTTATTTTTAGATAATCGCTGGGTTTTTTTCTGATATGTGGCCGAGATTTCTTGCTAATCGAAGGACACAGGAAGTAATAAAAAACGGCGGCTTTTGTTGCACAACTTGACTGACGTTTGAGCGATTATTCTTGTTATTTCATTTGTTTAACCAATCTTTGGAAGAATATTTGTCCATTAAGTATGTAAGTCCTTTGGTGTCCGCCATTATTACTGTTTATATTTGTATATTTGTACAAAAATCATCGATCAAATGTCAGTCAAGTTGTACAATAAAAGCCGCCGTTTTTTATTACTTCCTGTCCTTTCTTTTAGCAAGAAATCTCGGCCACATATCAGAAAAAACCCAGCGATTATCTAAAAATAAAAATTGGATATGCTTGTATAGAAATTTTTTGAGAAAAAGGACAAAATGTGAAAAGGTAATTTTCACTCACTCAATAGGAAATAGTATGGGCGCAATTGGTGGCCGCGCGCTCGCCCCAATGTTTTTGCACCCCCTGCAATATGGCGGTAGAAACCTTGGAAAGGTCTATTGTCCCATATGCTATTATATTTAAATACATAAATATAACCGACATTTCTCATCTTACCTCACAAAGTTGCTCTGTCTTTTGCTCTTTAAAAATGTTCTGTTCTTTGAAAAATACTGCATTATTTATATGCACTGATAAAACGTATAATACAGTCACGAGGTTTTAATAATAACCGAGCAGTATTGATAACCGAAAGTTTCATTGAATATTTATTAACAGTGAGTCGGTGGTCTTTTTCCCACCGGCAAAGTTTCCCTATTGCATAATAACAGGCGCGGTTACAAAGCTCCCAACGAAAGTGATCCCAAAAAAAAATTCTGCTGACCGCTGAGACCAGGAAACACGAACGCATATTCAATATGGCGTCGGGAGAATATGACAGTGATGATTCTGAAAACGAAATTTCACAAAGACACGGCGACTTACCTCAGGGTTTTGAAAAGGATTTAATGGAATTTTATTTTACTAAAGGCTTTACGTACAAGCACATTACTTTAATGCCTGAAAAACATCATAATATTGACATGAATGAACGAACTTTAAAGCGTAGGCTAAAAGACTATGGCTGTTCAAGATGTGGCAAAGTGGATAACGAATTAGAGACACAAGTAAGAAATATTATTGTGGACGAAATCGGTAATGGCCCGGATAGCCTTGATGGCTATAGAATCATGTGGCACATATTACGTATTAGACATCATATCAACATTCCTCGACGTCTCGTGGCAAGAATCCTCAGAGAAGTAGACCCGCAAGGCGTAGAGCAAAGAAAGCGCAGGTGTTTAAAACGTAGAACTTATGTTTCACCAGGTCCCAATTTTTGCTGGCACATTGATGGCTACGACAAGTTGAAGCCATTTGGCTTCTCTATACACGGCTGTGTCGATGGATTTAGCAGAAGAATACTTTGGCTTGAGGTACAAAGATCGAATAAGAATCCAAGATCTGTAGCACAGTATTTTTTAAAGTATGTACAAGCAGCGAGGGGATGCCCAACATGTGTGTATATTGATCCTGCATGGCACTGAAAACGGACTAATTGCTGGAATGCAATGTTATTTGCGAGCTGAAGGATTAGATGAGTATGCGGGGTCAGAGTCTCATAAATATGTATCTAGCACTCGAAATCAAATAATTGAATGCCAGTGGTCTCACTTCAGAAGATAACGTTCAAGTTGGTGGATCGATTTCTTCCATGACCTCAACGAATCTGCTATTCTTGACCTCACCAGTGAGATACACATGGAAGCATTGTGGTTTGGTTTTGCAGACCAACTCCAGACAGATCTTGATAACGTTAAAGAGTACTGGAACTCCCACAACATCAGGAAGTCTAGCCATGCCACAGTCTCGGGGGGTCCCGGACATGATGTTTTTTTGCCTGAAGAGTTTGGACACCATGATTGTTTGCGTCCAGTGTCTTTGGAAAAAATGGGAGAGCTAAAGAACAGGCTAGAAGGTGGTGATGAGGAGGAAGATGAAAGAAACATTTCAATTTTTGAAGAGTACTTTCACTATGTCATGGAAAGCAATAGCTTGAATCATCCATTAACTATTACAGAAGCAGGAGTTCTGTTTGAGAAGCTAGTTCAGTTCGCCTGTTCCAATTAAGTATAACATGAAAGTGAATATTTTTACTCTGCTATGGATTCAAATTTAAAACGTTTTACCGTTGTAATATAACCCACAACCTATACATAGATAGATATATTATATATAAAAAAGGTAATCAAACTTCAGCGCGCTATTGTATCTGAATTACTATTTGTATGAACAAGATTTTTTCATATTCGAAAAGATCAGGCTTTTAGCTGTTGAATGATATGTTCTTCATGCCAAATGGATAAAATGTTGTTAATTTTAATAATTTTGTTATGCACTGCTTTAATTAGGCAAGTGGTGAAAATATGCAATTCTGACTAACATTTTTTATCAGACTCGTCCTTGCTTATTTTTTCCACTTGGCACGAAAAACATGTCATTCAATTGCTCCACTTGACATGAAAAACACGTCATTCAATAGCTAAAAGCCTGATCGTTCCGAATATTAAAACATTTTGTTCATACGCCGAGTAATTCACGTACAATACTAATAGCGCGCTGAAGTTCGATTACCTTTTTTTTTATACACACTGTATATATATGAATATATGAGCACAAAACATATGAAAAATTGGTCACTGTCCATCATATCTTGATTAATCAGACTTAATGAAGCCAAATCTAACGGAATATAAACAAAAACAAGCAATGTTGCTGACTATCAATTGTTACTGAATATCATATCATTCATATGTGGAATAACTGGAATTAAATCAAGCCAAACCAACAGACTCTTTGACAACTGATTCTATCATTAAGCCCATGTCTTCCGCTGATGTTATGTGTACTGGGAGTTTCAAGACAATGTCACAAGTTGACGTTGTGGGTCGGCAGCGGCATCCTTCATTGCAACCGTGTACAAATTTTATTGCAAACTTTTTTGGAAATCCCAAAGGTGCATGGTATCGACTTTGATCCTGTTAACCATTTTACAAAATGATCCATCTTCAATCCATGTAGACCTATACAGTATAAGTTAAAAAGAGTACAATTGTATAAATATGTTTTACCCTATAGGCGTTCAAAGAGTAGTTTTAATAAGTAAGAATCCATTGATTAAGGTGCAAAAGTCTTTCACCATAGTTAAAATCGTAAAGCAGTAAAATTGTACAAAGGGTGCATTGTACCTTACTGGTGTACATCTTAAAAAATCTGCTGGATTGTTGAGGCTATATATGCAAGCACCGGTCACAGGTTGAGCATGCGTGTTTCTATTTTATTTTTAAGCAGTGGCGTAGTCAGCCTGACAATTTAGTCCCGCTAGGCAGGTTCAAAATTATTATCATTATTCATATCTTTAGAAATTGATTGTTCTCACAGTCAATGAACACGAAAATATTTCCATAGCGGAACTAAATCGTCGGGCTGGCTACGCTACTGTTTTTAAGCACTCAATAGAGCTACAACTTACAAGTGTCTTGGCAAGTGATACATATAATAACATCTGATAAAATTGGCCTTAAATTTAGTACCTTCAGAGTAATGTTTCTCTATGGAGAAGGCAATATCATATATTTGAAGTATATTCTAACCTTCTTCATATAAATCCTGGATAACATCAAAAAACACTTTATATGTGTTAATTTCTAAAGCTTTAAGAATCTGAGATGAGCTATAATCTCCTGTTGCTTCGTCCAATAGTTGGTCACCAGTTAGTTGGAACTGATTGCTGGGAGTAAAGATCGGTTTCCAAACTTCAGGAAATATGTGGACGGATTCGAGCAGACCACATGATGAAAGGCCTTCTTCCAGCTGCATCAGCTGTGACAATACGGTAGAAAATTGGTCATTTATACAAGTAGACCTGAAATTAAAATCTCTGTTTAGTGAAAGACAATTAAACAGAAACAATAATATACATAACATTAGGGATAAACATACCGAGAAGAAAAAATCCTCAAATTTTTATGAGGTCATAAACACAGCAGTTTGACAAGTGGGAATTTGCAACAATGAACCATAAATGGAACTATTTTATAGTTTTGAATTTTTTTTTAATTTTCCCTGACGAAAATAGTATCCAAAAGTCTGGAGGTGCATAATACATGCAATTTTTAAATACTGGTCAGATTAAATTTGATTCCAGTACTCTAAAAAAACGTCAACAGTATAATATAGTAGGTTACTTTGCATGAACTGAACGAGCAGAGGAAAAATGAAAGACTGATAGTAGTTACAGGTGACAAGTTATGAAATTTATTGGTATTTTACTATTAATTATTCTGTAACGACTGAAGATTTGTAAAACAGACCAAGGACTCTCTCAGGATTCCTTTCAAGATACTTGAGATTTCAATTACAGTACAGTCGAGCCCAGACTAGTCCCTAGTCCTCTGTGCACGCCTTTGATTTTTGCGACGTCACTTCATTAATATGCAGAAACGCGAAATAGGCGTACTAAGAGGCCTAGGCTTAGTCTAGCCTTCGTTTGAAGTGGCCCAGTCTTAACTTCTGATGCAGAATTCAAGCACCCAGTATCTATTGTACCCACTACAGTAAATATACAATGTAATACAGTACTAAACAAAACTGTTCTCAAGCACATATAGTGTCAATTGCAGTACCTAATGATATCCTTTGAGGATGACACTGTTTCCCTTTGCGGAACTCCTCTGTATCCAATTCGCATTAAAACATCTAAACCATCGTCTTCGATAAGAAGTGCTTGAACTTCTCCATCTGTTAATTTTGCACTAGCAAGCTGCAAGATACAAAAATTGCATCATTAGTTGAATATGAGCATGAACAAGGTGATTTCAGAATCATGAACAAGGGGATTTCAGCATGAACAATAGGATTTCAGATCATGCTTATTCCGTGCAATATTGACAAAATTGACCTTAGCTTCATTATCACACACAGCCAGTCGGCAACACTCAACATTGTAATGTAAGCAGGGTAGTTATACATAATTTTAAAAATGCCTCAAATACCTCGTACTATATGCCACAAACATATGTGAGACTTAACTTTGTTGCAGTTGCAGTTGCAACCACAACCGCAAATTCAAAAGTATTCTGCACAGGCTGTAAGTACTGAGCTCTCCTTATAACTTAACTTTATGAGTTTTGCCACTTAATTAATTCAATACCGAGATGCACCATTTATATTGGCTAATTCCACATGCACACCCAAAGATGTGCACACAAATTAGATTGGTTATTTGGAGATACAACAGACCTCAGCCCCTAAATTGAGGTAGGTCCTGTATACGCATGTAAAACCTGCATACCGCCCTGTACTTCTATTTCAGGATTTAAACGTTGTCTTAAGAAACAACTTTTGCATTAATTTAGTTTCTCACTAATTAGTCATTGATGTAAAATGGGTCAGTTAAATTTTTCTTGCTTTAGAACTTAGAATTAATTTTATTTGTTAATTATCTCTGAAAATTCCCATTGTGGATAGTCTGTGATAGCAGACTGATCTCAGCTGACCCCCCCCCCCCCTACTATTTCACAGCCGCTCCAGGGGGGGGGGCGGGCGGGCTGAGATCAGTCTGCCGTCGCAGACTATGTTGGGGACGAATTAATAAATTCGTAATTTGTAATATTGTCCACTGACCTTGTTTGCTATGGTTTTGGTCAATATGTCAGTATTAACATCAGGACACAAAGATTCCTTGCTAATATAAGAATATGTCTAGGGTAGCAAGAAATTGGGAGCTGGGCCACCTTGTAAAATTGACATGATCATAATTTCCCCAGCCAGACGAAATTCTTTGGCTGATAATGCAATCATGGACTCAACTGGACACCCATTACGGAAGTACTTTCTTTCCACTAACTCCAACATATCTGAAAGTATGGAAATACCACATGCCATTACCATGACTGTAACTGTCATATTTATCAATGTATATTATAATATTATATACAAGGAAGATAATCATAAATGATTAGAGTGATCGCAATACCTGGGTAGACCTAAATCACCTAATTCAGAATTTCCAGAATTCAAAAACAAATTTGTAATGAATTAAAATTCTTATGAAATAACTCAAGTTTGTCTTGTGATGATATTACATTATATGTATAACTCCATCATGTGGACATAAGAAAAATTGGCAGCTTTTTAGCAAGTTAAGGTAAATACAATCTTTTGGGATAGGTAGCGTTGAACATTCTGGTTACTAAGCAAAACTGACATCTTGAACCGACTAAGATGCAAGGGTCTTCCCATCTGGCATTAGACCGCGTAAACTAACAAAGGTGGGCGCACAGGAGTACATTGTGCCTTAATGGATAAGTTCTAACATCATCTAACAACAGGATTTGCCTCCAAACTATTATTATGTTGTTTATATTATAATTAAACTCTTTCAATATTTGATTCCCTACATATATCCTGTTAATATCTCTAAAGTTTTTTTACATTATTTCAAGCTTGACAACCAAACTTTTGAAAAGTTTAATCAATTCTACAGTATACTAGTTGATTTTGCCTCAATATTGTACTGTACATGTATCTTCATAAAATTGCCCAACCCAGACTATGCCTATATATCAATTCCTGCTCAACTCCAATTCAGTCCATGACTTTAAAATATGCTATCATTTCACTGTATTATATACTGTACCTGAAAAAATTATCTACGAGGACCACCATCGTTTATAGCAGGCTCACCTAAAAACACCACTTTCAACTTTTGTTGTGGTTTCACTCTCTTTCTTCTTTCCTTGGTGAAGTCTTCCCATAATGTTTTCCTTCTTATGTTGATACGGACTGGATCTCCAGGCTCCAAGTTATTTTGCAGTTCCTTGATCAATGAGACAAATGTCTGTCCTGGTTCATAATCTATTCCAAACTCATTGTTATCAAACAAGTTATTCTCATCTATTGTTATGGTTTCACCAACAGATTCCACATGCCAGGAAGCACAAATATCAGCATGCTCAGCTATTTCTTGAATTGGAAATTCCTTAAAGCAAGTGGGGCATTCCACTCCTTTTGCTGAAAGGAATAATAAACAATTAGGGGCGTAGAAAGCATCAAAAGATTGGGGGGGGGGCACCGGCTTCTAGGCGCACTTTAGGGTATTGAGAAGGGCACCTAAAAAAATTTTCCAGGAAATGTTGGCGAGGGGGGGGGGGG